AGAGCCCTGGACTATGAGCCAAAAGGCCTGAGCTCCAACCCTATATGTCTTTGCACGGTGATCTCAGGGGATTCATCTAATTTCCTTGGATCTCACATCCTGCCCAGCTCACAGGAACAAGTGGACTAAGTGTATATGAAATGTTAGAAACTGTAAAATGTTATACAAATATAAGGGATCGTTATTATAAAAGTCCAGTGTTTGCTACTAAATCAGTTTTGAAAGAAGAGATATTCCCATCCATATAAAAATATTTGTTTTGGGGCTAGGGTTGTGGCTCAGCAGTACAACGCTCATGTAGCATGTGCAAGGCCCCCGGGTTCAGTCCTCAGCACCACATATAAATGAATGAAATGAAGGTACTGTGCCCACCTAAAACTAAATAAATAAATAAATAAATAAATAAATAAATAAAGTTCATTGGGTGTGGTGCTGCATGCCTATAATCCCAGTGGCTCGGGAAGCTGAGGCAGGATGATCTTGAGTTCAAAGACAGCCATAGCAATTTAGTGAGGCTATTTAGCAAGACCCTGTCTCAAAATAAAATATAAAAAGTACTGGGGATGTAGCTCAGTGATTAAGCATCCCTGGTTTCAATCCCCAGTATCAAAATAAAAAAACACAAAGTTCATTTTGGCCAAGCCCTAGTTACTGTGCTCCTATACACAGGATACCACACATTTGAGCTGGCACTGCACCAAATTTATCCACACTCCTACCCTTGGCCAGTAAGGAGGAGGCTCTGCTGCTAGATAAGGTTGGGATGAACTATAGCCCTTGATCAGAACCCAGCCCATTGGCCCCCGCAGAGGCTGGGTCCCTGACCTTGGCCTCCCAAGCACTCTGTTCTTCCCCTACAGCTAACTTTCCCAATCTGTATTCTCTAGACAGACTAAAACCACATGTTTACCAAAGTCAGGTAAAAGCAGATGTTGCCAATGCCCCTTGATCCCATAGAAATACAATCCTTTTCTTAAAGGGGCATATCTCAGGGGAGGCTCAGGAAACATAGATACTGACCCTGGTTCAATTCCTTTTGAACCATTCTGGAAGGATCGGACAGAAGTTTTGCATGAAGTCCCCTGGGAGCAGGACGATGTTGACTATTTCCAGTCTCATCATTCCAGCTCTCAATGTAATGCTTGGGGAAGGAGAGATTCAAGATGTCTTGTGTCCTAGGTCTCTAAGGTAGCCCCTTTTGGGGAGAATGGACAGATATTTCAGGAGGCTGATATGATCTTCTTGGCCACATCAACCTGTCTACCAAAGCTCTGACTCCAGTGCCCTCACCCTTTTTCTTAAGAGTTTATAACTGAAGTGACAGTGGACCTGCCACCCCACCAAGAACAAAATGGCAACATTCAGAGCTGAAGGGGCCAAGCTTAAGGGTGGGTAGAGAAGGAGCTGGGTTTAAATTTTTGAGACTATTTTTAGGAATAGAAGGAACATGCTAGAATGATCCTTTTAACTTCAATGTTTTTCACCTCTGTCTTAGCTCTCTTGGCAAAGGAATGTAGGAATGTGTGCCCCAATCTCTCCTTGGTCATAACTCAAGTGCCACGTTTAATCATTTCAAAATATTTTCATAATAATTAGTGTGCATTTTATTCCCTCAGGAATCATATGGAGTAGGTAGGGTTCCATTCCCACTTTACATATGGAGAACCTAAGATATGGTTGCTTGGGAATAGCAGGCAAAGAGTAGCTTTCTCTGTCTTGACTCAGTCAGGTACTCTTTCAGCCACAAACTAGAGATTCTTATATTTTTTTACATCCCATATCTACTAAACACTTATCAGGGAACCCCGAAAAAGACCCTCAAAAGTCCATTTTTCCCCATGAGGAATACTGATATGTTTACAGTTATTCCTTTATTAAATTTATCACTTATAAGTAACATTTTGAAAATTAAAGAATAGATTTCTACTTGAAGTAGCAGCTCTTTGGTAACTATTTCAAATATCAGTCCCAAAACTAGATGCCAGTCAATAAAACATATCCATAAGCCTCTTACCAGTAGGGTTGAATGATGAATATTACTTTTCTGGTGACTAGACTTTCTTATTTATAAATAAAGCATTACAACCACAAAACAATGTCTCCATTATTATTATGTCCATAACKATTTATAACTCTTACATCACATCACATACCATTAAATGAAAACCATGGCACCAATTGTGTATTCCTCTATACCCAAAGTGATGTGGTGACTTTGACTGTAAACATTATATTACTGGTATTATGGACTGGTATTCATCCTGGGCATGAACAGCCTGAATGTCCAATGAAGGAACATTATTGATTATAAATTACTTTTATGTCACATTATCATCTCAGTAGATGCAGAAAAATCATTAGATAAAAGTTAACACCCTTTAATGATTAAAATCCTGAATAAATTAAGTATAGAAGGATCATACCAAAACATAATAAAGACTATACATGACACACCCATATCCAACATCATACTGAATAGGGAAAACATGAAAGCATTTCCTCCAAAAATAGGAACAAGACAAGGGTATCCATTCTGAACACTCTTATTCAAAATTGTACTTGAATTTTTAGCTAGAACAATTAGGAAAGAGAAAAAATGAAAGGGATACAAATAGGAAAGGAGGAAGCCAAAATATCCCTATGGATGATATGATTCTATCTACAAGAAAACTCTTGGAATTGATAAGCAAAATACAGCAAAGTACAAAATCAACATACATATAAAATCAATATCTTTTCTGTGTACCAATAATAAAATTGTTGGAAAAGAGAGCAAGAAAACAATTACATCCCAAATAGCTTCAAAAAAATAAATCTAAGAATAAACTTAACTGAGGAGATGAAAGACTGCTTTGAAAATTACAAAACACTGAAGAAATTGAAGAAGACACTAGAAGATGGAAAGACCTCCCATGTTCTTAGAGTAGGAGAATTCATATTGTTAAAATGTCCAAACTCTCTGCATACTCAGTACAATCTCCATGAAAATACCAATAACATTCTTCACAAAACTAGAAACAATAATCCTAAAGTTCATATGGAAGCATACAAGACCGTGAATACCCAAAGCAATCCTGAGCAAAAAACAAACAAACAAACAAAYAAAAAACAACAAAAAACCAATGCTAGAAGCATCCAAATACACTATAGAGCCATAGTAATAAAAACAGCATGTGTTAGCATAAAAACAGAGATACTGACCAATTGAACAGAATAGAAGACCCAGAAATAAACCTATTCATTTGCAGCTGACAGATTCTCAACAAGAACACAAAAACACATTAGAGAAGACAGTCTTTTCACAAGTAGTTGGTTCTGGGAAAACTGGAAATCCATGTGTATAAGACTTAAAGTAGACCCCTCTACCCTGCACAAAAATCAGACCTGAAATGTTGAAACTACTACAAGAAAATAGGGAAACACCCCTAGATATTGGGACAGCCAACAATTTCCTGAATAGGACTCCCATAGCTCAGGAAACGAAAGCAAGAATTGACAAATAAGATTACATCAAATTAAAAAGCTTCTGCACAGCAAAGGAAACAATCAAGAGTGAAAAAGACAACCAACAGAATGGGAGAAAAATCTTTGCCTGCTATTCATCTGASAGAGGAATAATGTCCAGAATATACAAAGAATTTAAAAAATCATAACAACCAAGAAATAGGTAATCCAACAGCCACTATGGAAATCAGCATGAAGGTTCCTCAAAAAACTGAAAATAGAACTACCATACGATCCAGCCATATGACTCCTGGGTATATATATATATCCAAAGGAAACAAAGTCATCATTCAAAAGATGCGCACACATTTACTGTAGCACTCTTTACCATACATAAGATATGAAATCAGCCCAGGGGCCCATYCACAGATGAATGGATAAAGAAAACAGGATACATATATATATATACAACTGAGTTATTATTCATCCATAAAAATAAAATCATGTCATTTGCAGAAAAACAGATGGAAATGAAAGGCATCATGTTGAGTGAAATAACCCAGAAACAGAAAGACAGATATCATATGTTTTCTCTCATTATGTGGAAACAAACAAAAAAAATTGAAAAAGACGACCTCAAAGTGGAAGAGGGCTTTCAGAGAAGGGAATGGGAATAGTAATCAGAGGAGAGAGGGTATGGCAAGAGAGGACAGAAGGGAAGATGGACATGATCAAGGGGGGATATACGCATATATTTAAATGTCACAGTGGACCCCCCAATTTGKACAATCAATATGTGTTAATGATTATAATAATAAAATAAAATGATCACTTTTATGTTTTCTTTCTCTCAAGTGGATGAGATACACACACATTCTCACACATACACCACATACACACACAGAGATATGTGCACTAGAACAGTTAAAAAAAAAAAAAAGAACAGATCAATAACCACATTCCCAGGAGGTGACAACTCTACCTTAAAAATGAAGTAAGATGTTTATTGTAATTTTACATATCACTTAGCTCTGAGTTCCCTGGAAGTCAAAATAAAAATAAAAACAGATTATTTATATAGTTCTTATAGAGGAAAAAGAATAAAGTCTTTACATTTTTATTTCACTCATTCACCAACAATTTGTACAATTTTGGATGCATTTTTTTAAATATATTTTTCTCTTTCCAAAGAAGAGAATGGGTTTAGTTAGGACACATGCTTTCTGTAAAAAAAATATCGTGAGAGGCCAGGCACAGTGGTGCACACCTGTAATCCCAGCTACCCAGAAGGCTGGAGCAGGAGGACTGCAACTTAGGGGCCAGTGTGGTCATCAGTGAGACCCTGACTCAAAATGAAATATTAAAAAATTTAGATAAAGATGTAGCTCAGTGGAAAAGCACTTGCCTAGCATGTGATATACTCTGGTTCAATTCCCAGGACTGCAAAAAGAAGAGAGAAGAGAGGGGAAGGGAAGGGAAGGGAAGGGAAGGGAAGGGAAGGGAAGGGAAGGGAAGGGAAGGGAAGGGAGGGGAAGGGAAATCAGAATATTCCTTACCTCCTCCAGTTTATCCACTCGCCCCACCAATTTGGTGGTGACCGAATGCAGCTTCAGGAGATCTAGGCCATAGAAAGCTCCTTCCAGCATATCTATGATGGTGGAGAGCTACGAAACAAGAGCCAGGGGTTAGTCCAGGGTTGGGATAGAGAGAGCACAGTGGGAGAAGTTTCCTTCAGATCTCCATGTTGTAGGCTCAACAGGGAAGCCACTAGCCAGGAATTGAAAGGTAGCCCTAGAAGCACATTTGTAGGGACGAGCCAAATGATGTATTCTGCCTTCTGAAATATTTGGGTAAAAAAAAAAATAGAAGAATCCTACAAGAACAAGTAAATCCAAGGTCTGAACATCTTCACAAACTGTTTAGGACTCTTTTATGAATCCATCAGTCATCAGCATCTCTCCTATTAGACTATAACTCCTTCAAAGCTTCTTCATCTCGGTTTCCTCAAGATATCTAGCAGAGTACCTGGCCCATAACAGGTAATCTATAAATGCTCAACAAAGTGATTGTAACATAAGTACCTTCAGGATATGGTTATGAAACCCTCCCTCAACTTCATTGTCTACTAAAGGTCCTGGAAGATATCAAGAGATGATTTCTTAGCATCAAAAGCATAGTTGCATCTATTCAGAAAACCAACTCAAGAGACTCAATTGAGCCCAGTAGTTCCAGAACAGACTGGAGACCATAACAGGAACCCATCTCAAAAAATTCAGCTAGGCTGAGAAAATGGCTTAGTGTTAGAGGATTTGCCTAGCATGTACAGGCCCTGGGCAGGGAGTGAGGACAGCTTAACCAATCCTGATGTAAAAGAGACCCAGTGGCACATGCCTATAATCTCAACAACTCAGGAGGCCGAGGCAGGAAGATGGCAAGTTCAAGGCCAGCCTGGGCAACTGAGCAAGAACCTTTCTCAAAATAAGATAAAATGGCTGGGAATGTAGTCTAGTAGCAAAGCACTTTGGGGTTCAATCCCTAGTATCATCCCCTCCAAAAAAAATAACAAGAGAAAGGCCCAATAGCCCATGTCTGAGGTAGCTCCTTGTCATCGGGCACCTAAACTTGTCACTTTTTTTTTTTTCAATATGATTCCCTGCCAGTATAGTGCCACTGGGAGGAAGGTGGCTGAGGCTCAGATAGCATTTAGCGGGTGAGGATACAGGAATGGGGGCAGATGAGATATGCTTAAATGGAGCCTCCCTACCAAGAACCAGACCCTGGAAGAGTTGGCTGGGTGACCCATTGCAATCTCTCTRTTCCCCACTCACTTCCTAGCCTTGCTTCCAGATAAAACATTCCATAGAAATACTCGTTTTTTGAAGTTCTCTTTCTCTCTCTCTCTCTCTTTTTTTTTTTGGCGGGGGGGGGGTGGGCGCTGACGATTGAACCCAGGGGTACTTAACCACTGAGCCACATCCCAGCCCTTTTTATATTTTATTTCAAGACAGGGTCTCACTAAGTTGCTTAGGGCCTTGCTAAGTTGCTAAGGCTGGCTTTGAACTTGTGATCATCCCTGCCTCAGCCTCCAAAGCTGCTGGGATTATTGGAGTGTGTCACTGCACCTGGCTAGAAGTTTTTTTTCTTTTGCATCAGAGGAAGACAGCTGTATCCTGGGTAAGGGCCATAGCTGATTAGTATGCAATGGGATGATTTTCTGATTCCTAATAGAAATTTTGCCTGATATAGTTCCAGAAGTTCCCCCAGAGTCCTATTCTAGAACTAAGTGAGTGCGGCACATGGTTCAGAAAGTAGTTTCATGGAAGAACTGCAGCTCTGAGTAATATGGCCAAATCCTGGGGCATTCCTTGACCTGATAAACACAACTGCTTTAAGAGATACCAATGACTACCAGTCCCTGAGTATCAGGTACCAGCAGGAGTGCATTACATGAGCATTCATTCATCCATTTACACAGGCATGCCTCACTGAATATCAGGCATTGTGCTCTGTACTCAATAGTTGTCATCTCATCAATTCTCATAGTAGATATTATTCCCACATTTTATTCAAGGAAACCGAGGTCAGACAAATTAAGYAACTTCAGCAAGTTCATGCAGTGCTGATTTAAACCCAGGTTTGCCTGACTCCAAAAACAAGCTTATTCTACTACCCCACATCATGAGCAAAGCTGGGGTATCACATGAAGTCAGCCAGTAAAGATGCCCAGGTAGGGCCTGAGCTTCCCCACCCTATAAGGTATGACCACAGCATCGGTTTTGATGAGAGGCCCCAGGCCTCTCATCCCCCGGTCACTTCAACAATGGTGCCAAGGACTGAGAGGCTCACTTCTCTGTCTTTTACCTCTTCAACATCCACCCTGGGCTGACAGGAAATTGTGACAGCAATTTTCCTGGAGAACACTGAGTTCTTTTGGCCAGCTGGGCCTGGCAGCGGATCCCAGGCCTGGCCTCCTAGTCTCTATGAGGAGGGGCAAGTGTTCTTTGCTCTCACATCTCCCTCAGACTCCAGAGCTGAAATTGACCATTTTGTCAAAACAACAGCCTTATCTCCACACACAAGACTCCAGGGACTAGGCCTGGCCTCCTTCAAAGGCCTTACAATCCCCAGCCATGGCCCTGTAGGCTCATGGGTTCCCAGGAGAGCTTCCCATCTGTGGCACCGCCCCCCACCAGCTCCTACCTTCAAGTCTCGGCTGTCTGCTTCCCGTAGCTTCTGGAGCCTGAAGTCTCCCTCGCAGGGATTGAGGGCAGATGGGGGTGCAACACAGGCACACTTGCAGGATGAGCCTGAAGTGATGGTTTCCACAGTGTAAAAGTCTTCCCTCCTGGATGCTCCCTCATTGATCCTCTGGCAGGCATCTCGGCCCAGCGGTCTCACCACACACTTGCACTGACAGTCTGAGCCCTCGGACACGGCTTTCACCTTGTCATAGTCCCCCAGCAACTAGACACACACAGAGCAAATGAGTTGGGGTTATACAAATATATGGTTCCTCAAAGAGTCTGTCGATTAACTTAGTCAAATGTACGACTCTAGAAAAAAAACAATATGTATCGACATGGAAAAAAATCTCCAGGAATTATTGTTAAGCCACTCAAGTTATAGATCCATATATAGAAAACAATTAGTTTTATGTAAAAAAAAAATTCAAAAGTCAAAGCAATAAGTACATATGCAAATAAAATACACCTAAAAAAATGTCCTACACCAGCCAGACACCTCAAACAACACTGAACCATGGAATGAATAGGTCATCACAAAGCAATTTGCTGACTTGGACATTTCTGGGAAGGCACTCGGAGTTCAGCTCTCTTCGTTTATCTTGGAAGGCTGTGGATTTTCAGGGGGCCTTTGCCTTTAATCATTTAAAAGAAAAAAAAAATGAGCTCCATCCTTCTTCCCATAGTCTTGCCTTCAGCTAGAATCCAGGTTTGGATGTGAAAAGGAAAGGAAGAAAGAGTTGAAGAAGAGACGATTGGAAAGTTGGTATTCAGATTTGAGGACTACTGGGGCRTCTTTCCTGATTCATCATTTGACACTTATTGAGTCCCTCCTAGGGACTGGGGGAAGTGCAGTTAAAGGTAGAGATGGGTCAGGCWGACAGCCTGCTTTCAAGGAGCCTAYAGTGCCAGAGGCAAATAAAAAATAGTCACAGATTAGACAGGGATACGTGCCCTGAAGAGCAGGGATGARGTATAATTTGAAGTCAACAGAGGCGCCAATTGGGTACCAGGGAAGATTTCCTGGAGGAAATGGTATTTSATCTGAGCCTGGGATGATGGGTTAGAATTGGAGAAAGGGAGCCAGATGGTGGYACACACCTGTAATCCCAGATACTCAGATGGCTGAGGCCAATCTTGGCAATTCAGCAAGACCCTGTCTCAAAAAAAGTAAAAACTAAAGGGGTAGGAATGTAGCTTGATGGTAGAGCACCTCTGGGTTCAATCCCCAGTACCAAGAAAACAAAAAGAGAATATAGTTGGAGAAAGGGAGTTGGGAAGAGAGAGACAGGTCCAGAAGTCAGTAAGGTTTATTCAGTTTTAAGGGTTCATTTGGCTCCTAGAGCAGTTTCTGAACCCAAACCCAGGGCCAAAACCAGGAAACTGGCTACATCTGCTTCTTTCTACAATTCAAACACTTCCTTCTGTGTTCTTGCTCCTACCATCTTCCCCCAAACAAGAAAACACTTGCAAGAGCAGACTTTATAGAGCCCTCACCCTGGGCACTTAGTGGGGGAAAAGGTTCCCCCACCCCAAGTTGCTTTCCAGCATGCCCTAAATACTTAAAGCCAGGACTCCCTTCCTAGACAGCCAGAGTGTTCAATTCATTTGACTTAGGATCCCAGCAGGCAGGCATGAAACTTGTTTGAGTAGAAATGTTCTTTGGGATGCTGTGTAGGGGGAGTTTCCCCTGCCAAGGTTGGGTTTCTTCTAAGACTAATATTTGCTTAAGTGTTGTTGTCAAATACAGAATGGGTCAGTGGAAGAAGGAGGTGTAGTTCGGGGTGACTTAAGCAGCTGTTTTTTTCTGGGCTGACAGTAAATCATGGCTGTCTATTTTCTGAAACTTATCCTAGATTCCTACGCAACCCTGCTCTGAGAACCCTGGGTGGGTTCCTTCCTTTCTGGAGGCTCGGGTTTCAGGAAAGCTTTTGTTTATGATATTCCAGAGTCCCAATGTGAAGGATTTTTGTGTCTTTTCGATTTATGGGTCAGTATGAGGTTATGGGTGGGCACAAAGCATATATTAGCATAATTATGAAAGAAGAATGAGGAGAATAGTGTTTGAGAAATCTCAAAGCAGAGCTGATCGCTCCCTCTACAGGAAGGAGACAAGACCCAGTCTAAGGGCTTAATGGAGATACGGGCTTGCTCTAGGGATCCTTCCCCTGATATCTCTGGTCCTGAGGATCATAGTGTCACCCACTGCATACCATCACGCCAGCTCTGGAGAGTTTACAACACCAGAGAGAAGTATCTTTTACAGTCACGAGCTCTGGGCTGAAAATTGCCCGATGGTTTGATTCTTACCACTCCCAGCACTCTTTAGCTTTCTGGTCCTTATCTATAGAATGGGTATCAGGATGTTTTGGGGATTGATTCAGGTTCACAAATGAATATATTTCAAAGTTCATCACTATAATCTGTGGCTCAGCCTCCACTGAGAAGCAGGCCAGACTGTGGATATAAATTTCCACTGTATCCTTGCAATATCCTGGGTCTTGTCAATTCCTCTGTTCTGGGGGTACCTCGCATGAATTACACATGTTGTAGCTCTGTCTACACCCCATGTCTCTGCCTGGGTGGTTCACCCTAGGCCATAAAATCTCTCTCATGAATTATGCCATCTGACTCCTCCTGTTTACGCATTCCAAATCTGACAAACAGCTACATAGACAAGAAGTATTCTTCACAACCCAAAAAACAAAACACAAAAAAAACTTTTCTTCCTTCTCAGAGAGTCCTGTGAAGCCCTCCCTTTCCTCTCCTCTCCTTTATCTGGATTTGGTAACTTTGAAAGACCTCATGATTTTGGGAATAGGACCCCTGATTTCCCTTTAAGAAAATATTCTGATAAACGAAAACCAAATGTCCTTCCTATTAGTAATGGAAAGAAAAACTTCTCCCTCCAAACGCTTCATCCAGAACCATCCTTTGGCCCTTGCCACCACCCAGGACAAGGTGTGCGGGACATCCTACCTGAGATAAAACGTTCTCTTGGTTGTCCGCCTCATTTTGCAGAATCTCATCCTCTGTGGGAGCCACCGTCTGCTCATCTGGAGGCTCGCTGGTCTCTGTGGGGACAGTGCTGGAACCCCAGACCCGTGCCGCAATCAGAGAGAAGCAAAGAACTAGCAGCAGAGCCTTGGCCATGAGGGACAAGACCACAGAGACCTTCGCCCCTACGGAGAACGGCTTGGGTCAGGGATCTCAGCAAAGACTGAGGCTACAGAATGTTTTAGCAGGAGCCCGAGAGTGGCTGCCCCGCGCACCTTCTAAAGATGGGTGCAGCTAAGCGGGGCTGGAGGGTGCGCCCCGGAGACTCTGGGCATCTCCTGCCTTCCAGACTCTAGCCAAGACTAAAGAGGCGTGAGCAGGGAAGAGGAGGTGACCCGAAGGTGGAGGCCGGCACAGGCTAGCCAAGCGCGCTCAGGTGGAAGGCGGGCGTCCAGGCAGACGCCGTCTGCAGGGATCCTCGGGGCGCACGGGGACTGGGCGCCGGGAGGATAGCGGCGGCGGCGGCGCGGGAGGCGAGGGCGCAGCGAAGGGAGGGCGCGGGGAGAGGGCGGAGCCTCTATTGTGCCGGGGCCGCGGAGGTGCAGCCAGTGACGGCGCGGAGGAGGAGGACCGGGAAGCGCACGGGGCTCCGGCGGAGGGGCGCCCGCCGACCCCGCCCCCGACTGCAGCTCGGCTGCGGCGCACTGGCGAGGGCCCAGGCTGCAAGTTCGCTTTCCTTCATCAGATTGCAAACGATGAACGGAGAGGACCCSGAGCAGGGCCTCTGAAGTTTGGGGATTCCTTGTACCCATTTTCTCCGCTCGGAGAAGAGCGACTCTTGCTAAGGGGTGGGAGGCAGGCACCGAGCGCCGGTGCGAAGACTCGGCTCTCTCCCTTTATACGGAACCTGGGGCCGGAAAGAAGGCGCGTTTGTTCTTCTGGGTGTTTCTTTTCTCTGGACCTGACTCTGGGCGTGATCTCTGGTAGCTTTGAACTTAGCGCCATTGGTAGTTTGATGGCTTGCCACGGTTTTAGAACCTAGTACTACCTCCACCCAGAGGATGGCTGCTGAACTCCCGGCTGGAGTGCGTCTTGAGTGTGAGGAATAAGGAGAGTGACTGGGAGTCTCTCGGATATTCGGAGGATCGCGAAAGACCACACCTTTTACCCTCGCCTAGGTTGGAAGTATCGGGGTTTCTGTCACCAGAGGATCTCTACAAGGGCACCTGCTTTTCACAGTGTTCAATTATGTTGCTAGGTCCTTTAATTAGTGTCCCTTTCATAAACCCGCTGTGAAGATAAACAGTTTGTGGGTTTAAGGGTATTGTCCTTCCAGAACAGCTGTCACCCTGAAAATATTGAAGAGCCAGGTCACTTCAAAGACGTAAAAAGTATGTCACGCCCTTGAGAAGTCCAAGCACTCTACCCTTATGCTAAGGAATAAAGGTTTTCATAATCCAGGTAACCAAGGAGACGTCTTCTCCTATACATAACGATAGTGGACAGGATAATTATAATCATTATTGTGGTTTTTGTTTGTTTTGCCATGTTGGGGATCCAACTCAGGGTCTCACAATCTACAACCAAGCTCATGCCCAGCCCCAATAATAAACATTAATAAATTTTGGTAGTTAAAAAAAAAACAGTTTATGGGGGAAAATCCAAGGTTCTGAATTTATGAAGATTTGGGTTTACGAAGGTGTCACACAATAAACACCTTTCTATGTAAGTTATCAAATCTTTTCTGAAACAAGATGGAAGTAAACATCTATAAGATGTAATTTTAAGGCTCAATTGAAATAAATGTTTAGCTGAATGTGGAGGCATGTACTTTTTAATTTATTTCTTACATACATGACAATAGTGGAATGCATTACATTCATAATTAATCCCAGCTACTAGGATTAAAAGGCTGAGGCAGAAGGATCACAAGTTCAAGGTCAGCCTGGGCAAACCCTGTCTCAAAATAAAAAGAAAATAAAAAGGGCTGGGGGTATAGCTCAGTGGTAGAGCACCACCGGATTCAATCCCCAGTACCACAGTAATAATCATAATATAAGTTGAATGTTGGCTAAGTCCAAAGCAACAAGCTAGGTTGCTAGACATTTGCTGGGAGCATGAGAGCATTTCTTACAGAAGGAGTGGGGGTGAGGATGAGGAAGTACTTGAAACAGTCCTGGAATTGTGAGGCAGATTTGAATGTATCCAGTGGGGCTTAAAAGGAATAGGTCACTTCAGTTGAAAGGTCAGAAAGGATTTCTAGAAAGAGTGATACTGAAGACAACTGGGTTGGGAGATTTCAACATGGTGGTAGATAAGTCAACAAGATGTAGGCAAGAGACAGAAGCCATTCTGGGTAGAGACAGTAGTCTGAATATACATATTCAGTTCTCAAACTGGTGCTCCCTTCTCAGGAAAGACTTCCCTGACTCCATCTGACTTCCTCTGTTGCATGCTCCCATATGCCATGTACCTCTTCTTTACAGATTCATGGGAGGAAGGTATTTGTATACATAGTGGGTTATTTCAGTGGTGCCTGTCTTCCCTGCATAGACTGTAAACTCCACGAGGACAGGAAGTTTGTCTGTTTTGCTCACCATTACATCCTCAGTTTCACCCATCTCTGTGACCTAGTGGACACTAAATAAATGATTGAATGAATGGGAACTACAAATATGTTGAATATATTCCCAATTACCCTCATAAATAGTGTCTCTGTAGCTGTTAGCGTGCATTTAACTGCAAGTACAAGAGACTCCCTCACAATGGCTTAATTAAATACACATTTATTTTCTCTAAGAAGACTGAAAATTGGCTGTTGAGTATCTCAATGATATCATCAAGGACCCAAACTCTTTCCAKTTTCCATTCCAGTTTTCTTTCTCTCCCTCTCCTCCTCCTTCTTTTCTTTCTATCAGGGATTGAACGCAGGGGTGCTTAAACACTGAACCATATGTCCAGCCCATTTTTGATTTTCTATTTTGAGACAGGGTCTTGCTAAGTTTCTTAGGGCCTCGCTAAATTGCTGAGGCTGACTTTGAACTTGTGATCCTCCTGCTTAGTCTTCTGAGCCAYTGGAATTACAGGCATCTGCTMCCACGCCTGGCTCCTGGCTCCATCTCATTATTCTTAATTTTGACCTAATCATAATTGATTTAAGATTGTCTCAACTACCTTATAACCATTCAATTTCACAGTCTTTTTAAGATAGGGGTAGCCTTATTAGTTCTGGCCAATAAAATAAAATAGATGTTCAGGGAGTTTCTGGAAATAATACATTGTTTCCTGATAAAAGAAATAAATAGGAGAGTAGAGCTTTCTGATACCATATGGTCCTTCTCTCACTAATAGTCTTTGCTTATGGTCATGATGTCTGGAGCTGTTGCAACCATAGCATGACCATGAGTCCCTTCTCCTATTGAAGTGAAATTTATATTTTCTTTTAAAGCTCACTTTTAAAGTCTCCTTTTAATGTTCAGTCCTATGGTCTATACAAAAACTAGTCTAAAATATACAACAGGACTTTTCTTTCGCTTAAAGATAGAAAATCAGTACCTTCCAAATCTGTTTCTTAAGCTAACTATGTTCACTTTCTTCGTCTTCTATCTCCATTTTATTCACCCATTTTTCAGACCATKTGGCCTCCCAGATTCTCCATTATTCTGATCATTTTCTCACTAGAAAGACTCCAGTTAGAATAGAGGTTACAGCATATTGAAATCATTTCTTATTTCTTTCTGTGCACTGTTCTTTTATTAATGCAACCCAAGATTGCCTTAGCTTTTTTGGCAACCACATTGCACCAGTGATTCATATTGATTTATTTTTTAAATGTACTTTTTTAAAAATAACATATGAATGTTAAGCTGGTTTCCTCTATCCTGTTTTTTCCAGCTTATGTTCTCTATTTAACCCAAATACAGGCTTATACATTTTTACCCACTGAATAGTATGGTGGTTTTGGCTCATTTTTTAATCCTGTTGCAATCTTGATATTTTTGCTTTTATCCCAGTTTTGGGTAATTTCCAAATTCAATAAGCATAGTTTCTGTCTTAATTCCAATCATTAATTAAGAAAAAAAAGAACTAGTGGATTGTGGTGGCACATGCCTATAATCCCCAGCAGACTCAAAAGCCTGAGGCAGGAGGATTCCAAGTTCAAAACCAGCCTCAGCAACTTAGTGAGGCTCTAAGCAATTTAGAGAGATCCTGTCTAATTTAAACAAAGTGTTGGGGATGTTGCTCAGTGGTTAAGAAACCTGGGTTCAATCTCCAGCACCCAAATTAAACAAACGAACAAACCCCTGTTTGTTCAAAYAGGCCCAGATTCTAGAACTTTACATTCATCATAGGGAAAGTCTCTCCTTTGTTTTTGTTTTTCTTTTCTGTTGTTGKTGGTGGTGGAGAAAATAAAATACAGAACCTCATATGTGCTGAGGACCTTGTGCTCTCTACCACTGAGCCACATCTCCAGTCCTTCCCTTTATTGATGTTAACGTTTTCTGTGTGTGACCAGGCAGAGGTGCTGGTGCTGAGACCACATGTATTCACTCTGTATACAAGCGTATCTAGAGATGTGTCACCTACTTTTTGAAATCAAGATACACTGTCCGTGGCATTTCTCCCACCTGCCAGTCTGGTGACCTGGCTGGAAGATCCTGAGTTGAGTTTGGTTTGGCGTTAGAACACCCAAGTTGACATACTGTAAGTTCCCTGCATCCTTTGCTGAGAGCCCACAGATTCCAGTTCACTGGATCCTCAGCATATTAGTGTGAAATAAGTATCACTCTCTTTGTTAACAGATGGAGTCCCTGAGGCACCAAGACCATGACATGTGTGATAACGATTCTGCATTTAATGCTTACCACGTGCCATGCATCATTTGACAGCCAGAACTCCAGAGTTGGTGGAATCATTTTCTTTTTGAATGAGGAAGTGGGTTTAGAGAGGAATGCTCAAAGAACCAGGGTCTCAGAAAACCACGAGGTGCCTCTTTAGGACCCAGGACCCTCTCCAGTTTTGTTCAGCTGGCAGGTTGCTGAATGCTGGGGATCCCTCAGCCTGCACATCCACCATCCCTCCCCAGCCACGTCCACTTCTGACGTGAGCAGCTATTTTCCAGTTGACCCAGGAGTCTCCGGGCTTTGCTCTGAAATGTCTGTCTGTCGCCAATCAAGTCTTCATTTGCCAGGTGGGGCTAGGGGAGCTAGAAATGACCTGCCACCTCAGTGTGTAATTTAGAAAATGCACCTGCCCCTTAGCCGTAGAATCAAAGAGCGGAGCAAAGTCCCAGGAGCAACATCATTCTGCCATCTCCCTTCCCTGGCCGGCTGGAGAGTGGGAGCTGTGCCAGGGAACTGCCATAAAATGCTGGAAAGGGATGATGGAAAGCACAGCCCAAAAATGAGCTCTTTCTTCCCCGTTCACTCTGCTTTGCTGCTTTTCCAGCTTCTTATTTTGCCTTTGATCTTCTACCCTCTTTCTCTCCTTTAGTTCGGTTTAACTCAGTTGCTGATCATATATTATG